TCTCTCCTTCCCTCGCCTTCCCCCCTTTCCTCCCTTCTCCCCTGAGGTTAGTGCACTCCCACAAAGAGAGCACTGCTCAGCCAGAAGCCAGGCTCATGACTGGTGAGCTCAGCAGCGGGGGCAGGAGCCTCTCCCACCTCCACAGCAGTGCCAAAGGCTCCCAGACTGCGAGAGGGCTCAGGCCAGGCTGAAGGACCCCTTTCACTCCTCAGTTCATGAATTTCATGCACCAGGCCTCTAGTATTAGAATAAAAGAATTATGCAATTATATTTTTATCTAGTTTTCCCTTAGTTGCTCTAAGAGGAATGACCCTAACCCAGAGTTAAAATTCAGGCTATAGGAATTTTGTCTTCCGGTTTTGATTCTGTGAAGATCAGGGTTGTCAATTGGGGAAACTCACGTAAAGGTACTTTCTAGGAATACCTCACAGAGACCTGTAATAAGATGATTTTAAAGATCTTTGCATTTCTGGTGAAAGAAGTACAATGGTTTTTATTATTCTCAATACCAATACTAAACACAGGAGTGTGTGAAACTAGACAATTGTGGCTTAATAGTATAATCACACCAAATGGGATTCCCAATGCTATTCAGTGCTTGGAATTAGCCATAGCCTAGAATAGCTAGTGCAGCTTTGCAGTTGGCATGACATTAAAACTACCCATAAAGCTTGCAGCTGGGGAACAGAGTGACTTCTGTGTTGCTCTGAGACTTTGCTTCTAACATCAGCACTCAAAAGGACAGCCTTCAAAACAAAGGCAGTTTCTAACAGCCCTGAGACGAAGGATTATAGATTATAAATAGAATGGGTTTTAAAAGTGTATTTTGTCATACAGATCCTTCTAGGATTGCTCCTTGCTAGAATCTCAATAGCTGACTGCCTGTACTCAACCTAGCAGAGCCGGAGGGATGTCTACTTTGCTAAAGGTCTCCTGTCCCCAGAGAACCAACCGAATGTAGACATTACAAATAGAAAAAATGATACCTACTAGAGTCATACTGGAGAAGTACACAAAATTAAGCACCCTCGATTTGGTAACAGAGTGGCCTAAAGTGTAAATCTGAAAACAATAGTTTTAATCACCTTTTGCACCAATATAAGCCAATATCTATAGAATATCTTCTGTGTACACTTTCGAGAATGGCAAATAAGAAGGTAGAAAACAGATATAATAAGCAAGAGAACATCTGGAGGGCAAAAACCACTGAATCACTGTCTTTTTTTTTAATAACTATATTCTTTATTGAATTTTTACAAAGAGGAAGAGAGAGGGATAGAGAGTTAGAAACATCAATGAGAGAGAATCATTGATCAGCTGCCTCTTGCACACCCACTACTGGGGATGTGCCCACAACCAAGGTACATGCCCTTTACTAGAACTGAACCTGGGACCTTTCAGTCTGCAGGCCGACACTCTATCCACTGAGCCAAACCAGTTTCAGCTGAATCACTGTCTTTAAACCCAGATTTTTAAATCCGGTCTTGAAAATAATATTTCGATATTAATGGACTCATAAAAATTATGTTACACAGTTTCAAAGTACAATTATCTTAACCTAAGAACATACATCATGTGTTCCGCTTCCCACCCACATATTTCTTCTTTTCTTTAAATATATTTTATTGATTTTTTACAGAGAGGAAGGGAGAGAGATAGAGAGCTAGAAACGTCGATGAGAGAGAAACATCGACCAGCTGCCTCTTGCACAACCCCCACCAGGGATGCACCCACAACCAAGGTACATGCCCTTGACCGGAATCGAACCCGGGACCTTTTAGTTCACAGACCGACACTCTACCACTGAGCCAAACCGGTTTCAGCCCACCCACATATTTCAATCCCTTTCTACTGTAATTCTTCTATCATTAGGTAAGAGAATGCTAGAAGGAAATGCAAAAATTATCCACATCAAATCCCTTGGAAAAAAATAGATAAGAATGAAGGGCAGAACTTATTTCATATCCATTACCAAAAATTTAAGAAGTACCTGAGATTTTATTACCCTTGATTATATCATTCATAACTTTTATCTTCCTATCTCTAATCAATTAGAGACAACAATTATTTCCAACAAAAGCAATGAAAACAAATTGTGTCTCTTGTGAAGAGAGATTTGAATATGAAAATTCTATAGATCTTTAAGTAGACTATTCTTCTCTGATATGACCAATGCTGTCCCATGGTATTTTTCTGCTATACTGGACTGTGTGAATTTGATATGCCAATTAATGTGTCTTTACCTACAGCAATAAACTAATTTAGTACTAACTGCTCAGTGTTATCTGCAACATCTCAGTTGCAGCTTTGGGTAGAAATTCTTAGTCTGCATAGATATCCTATTATTAGTCTTTTAACTCATTTATATCTTTTTCCACCTTAGAGAAATGAACAACAAAGCCAACAAAAACGAATTGTTACTGAGAGCACTATAAGCTTTGTCCGTGAGTAATATATGGATTAGTTCTCATTCCCTTCCTGATTAAAAAGTTTAAAGAAGGAGAAAAGGAAATAATTCAAAAGACTGACAGGTAACTAGGTTTGTATTTTGAATCTCTTTTTGAATGCAATGCCTACCTATATACACATTTTTTTAAAAGCTTGTACCCTTACAACTTGGAGTACTTCTGTCAGGGAAGAAGCAGTTCCTGGCCTTCTTACCAGAAGTTAGATGATTGCATGAGAGATCATGTAGAAAAAGTGACCATTCCTCTTCCTATCAAAATGAAACCTTGTGAAAAGCCAACTCACTGCCCCTCCCAATTGTTCCTCTGAGCATTAGAGCATGCTCATTGTGTTTATCTTACTCAGCTTTGGGCCTAGTTCTGACAGGAACAGAGATGACACTTCTCCAATTCCATTAAGTGTTTCCCTTCAACGCTGTACTTCTAACAGGTGGTATTTGAAGAAATATTAAATTCCTTCTGTATTAAATGGGATGAAATATTCTTTTCTTTCAAACAACATTTCCTAACAGCATATTCAGATGAGCTGTGGGAGCCAAAGTCTAGTCTTCAGAGTCCAATACCAGTGATATGTCAACCCACGTTCTTGTGATTGATACATGAATGGGTTGAGTGCTTTATCCAGCTGTTTTAACACCTTGAGTATGATGCATGACTTCAAAAATAATTCAGTAGGATACATGAGAATACATTTTTGCTGTGTGTGGGTCAATCATTTGGGCTGGAGTCACAGACACTTACCTCCACAGGTAGCAACCTGTTTCCTGTTATAGATGGAATGCAACTCAATTGTGAGAATGTTTTATCTAATCTTTACTAATGAAAGGGTAATATTCTAATTAGACCAGATAGACTAGACATCTTCCGGACGTCCTTCCAGATGTTCTTTCAGACAAAGCCATGTGGCAGGGCAGAGGCAGAGGCGGTTAGGGGCAATCAGGCAGGCAGGCAGAGTGGTTAGGGGTGATCAGGCCAGCAGGAAAGAGCAGTTAGGGGGAAACAGGCTGTCAGGCAGAAGGGTTGGGGGCAATCAGGCAGGCAGGCAGGCAGGTGAGTGGTTAGGAGCCAGCAGTCCCAGATTGTGAGAGGGATGCCCAACTGCCAGTTTAGGCCCAATCCCATCAGACATCCCTTGAGGGGTCCTGGATTGGAAAGGGTGCAGGCCAGGCTGAGGAACCCTCTGCGCCCCACCCCTGTGCACGAATTTCATGCACTGGGCCTCTAGTGTAAGAATAACACTACAGATTCACTTTTTTTTTAATTTATAGCACACTTTTTGCACACATGAAATGTATATCTGTATTAATTAATCCTGATCTCCCAATGAATCCAGGATAAGTAACAGAGGGTTGAACTCTATAGTAGGCATGGGGTAGAAAGGAGGTAATTCAGTCTCAGGGATATAGATGACAATCATTGAGAAAATGCTCTATCTAATCCATTGAGCTAATAACCATTTGGATAAGGGAAAAGGTGGAACTAGAATAATGTGGGTGGACCAACATAAATTTTTTGTCAAAAAATGTGTCTCAACTATTCAAATGGACACATCCTTGAAAAATAGGTTTCAAAAGCATGCTGCAGGTGAATCTAAATTGCACAACTGAAATAAAATGAAGGTGCAAAAAATAAAAGTGCAAATTTACAACCCATCTTCTCAAAGTTACTCATTATTAGCGTTGTGAAATACCTGAAAAACATTTGTGATTTCTTTGTGACTTGTTATATTTTTTAACAAAAATTCTGCGTTGGTGTTAAACAGATTTTCAACCCTCAACAAACCAGATGGCTAATCCAAATTATTACATGAAATATGAATAGGAAACTGAGAACTGAACTCTGCAAAAGATAATGAGAATTTCTCAGCATTTAAATTTTTACCAAAAAAAATTATATTTCTATTTCATCAGTAACTACTTTGGAATTGTAACAAATAGTCCCAGTGATAATTATCAAATGTCTATATTTAGGGGAAACTAGCACACACGTGTATCATAAATAATAGCTCAAGTTAATATTTCTGAATTGCCTGTTTTTCTTGATATAGACATTTGGTAATTATCGCCAGAGTTGGCATGTAAAGAGGTGTTTAGACAATTTTAAAAGCGCATATTGCTTACTCAATAGACCATGTCTTAATGATATTCTGCAATAAAAATCCATATTCAGGTATGTCACAATAATGTGAGATCTTGACCCAGTAGATAATAAAGGAAAAGTATACACTTTGGTTTATTGAGTACAACCTCTTCACTTTAAGACCTCATAAGGCAGCTCTCAGTCTGTGACTGATAAATCACTTGCTAATCAAATAGCGGCCCCAAGGTAGAATAACTTTGACCTTAATACAAAAATGTTTACTAGCCAAATATTATTTTTGTACCTTGGCACAAAAAAGTTCATTAATTCTGCATCGCTTTGTCTGTCTCCTGCAGCTTTTAGTTCTGACGTATTGCCTAATTGGCAAAGAGCAACTTCCAACAGAGAAAAGTTTAGCACAACCTAGCCAAAAAGGGCTTGCTTTTGGCTCCTCACCTGGTGGAACTGATGTCTGGAAGTAAGTCGCTTTGTCTGCTCAGGTAATACGCAGAGTGAATACAGACAGCACATACAGGCAGCAGATGGAAGTCTTGCTTGATTCCGTCCACTTTAGTGTCTGGCCAACTCTTGGCAAATATTATTTTCAGAGCACAGGCAGGCAGGTGAAACATCAGCAGCCATTAGCAGGTGACACTGACAACAGTGATAGAAGCTGTGACTTGGGCAGAAGAGAGGACCAACGGATTGGTAGTAATGTGAGACACTAAACTAAAGCTATCTTGCCCTACTGTTGCCACTGGGAGAAGATGCTGCTGCTCAGTGGGCTGTTAATGAGAAGCGAGAGAGGAATACAAAGCCAATGCCAAGAGGCCAAAAAAAAAAAAAAAAAAAAAAAGGAAGATAATTTAGAGACAGCATGTAAACTTCAGGTAAAATCTAAGTTCTGTAGCATTAAGATTAAAGGCACAGGCCAGTCTGGGCTGACTAATAATAATTTAACAAATATGCATGAGATGCCTAGGTGACAACAATAGCACAGTATAGCAAAATAGTTGGAGTGAAAAAGCAAGGACAACATGCATAAAATGGTAGTTACTATCATACTTACAATATCAAAGCAACCTCTGCTGGGATAAATTAATATGATGAGGTGTTTTGCGGGTTCTTGACAAGCCTCTAAGAATTGGGTAAAATTTTTTCTGGATTAAATGCCTCCAATATTTTTTTTAATTCAGCCTAGATGTTTAAATGTAAATATTATATAATTGTAAGTGATGTTTCTCTTTCTTCTCACACAGCAACTCATAGGTCCATTGATAGGATTATTCCTCACACAGCACTTTTTGTTGTAGCTGTTAATGAGTGATGCTTGAGACCAGGTTAATGATCTAATGATCTCATGTTGTGGCAGAGACCAGTAGAGCTCACCTATCACTCCACGGGCTCCCTTGAAATGTGTATGGGGTTTTTTTTGTTGTTGTTTTTTATGTGTCAACTTGGCTAGCAACAGTAATTCAATCTAAGACTAAGCCAGTCATTGCTGTGAAGGGGGTGTGCAGATATTATTAAAAGGCCATAATCAGTTGATTTTAAGTAAGGGAGATTATCCTGGATAACTCGGGTAGACCTGATTCAGTTGGGTGACAGATCTTAAAAGCAGAGCTAAGCCTTCCCTGAGACAGAAAGAACACGGGGCCTGTGCCTGGGAGTCAGCTCCAGTCCACTCATGATTCTGCCTCCGTCAGGGGCCCACTCTGGATTTCAGACTTGCCCATCCAGCCAGACAATTGTGCGAAACAATTCCTTGTAATAATTCTCTTAACATGTATAGTTTCTACTGATTTTGCTTCTCTAGTAGACTCCAGACTGATAAAACCTGAAAAATTTCCTAACCTCTCTTGCAATTAGGTTGAATCTATGTGACTAGTCTGGCAAATGGTCTGGCAAATGGACTAGGAGGAGAACGGGTGTATGTCATTGACGGACTGAGACAGCTATAATCAAAACTTGCGTGCCTTCTCCGTCTCTCCTTTTTCTGTGGCAACCTTGGAGACCATATGCTAAAGTAATAAAGCCATAGTCACAGACAGCCTGAATCCCTGAGTCATAGCATGCAGTTTCCCCTGAGCTGCATCAGACTTTGTGGGAATGAAACAAGCTTTCCTTCTATTAAGCCACAGATTGTTTAACCTCATTTTCAGGGTTGATTTAACATGTAAGTGTGCCGGGATTCTTTTCCCAGCCTTACAAAGGGTTCAGCATTCTGGAGAAAGGGGTTGTACATAGATGATTAAAAAGGAGTCCAAAGACAGAAAAATATTTTTGAAAGGCATATTATAATCTCAAGAGTCTTCTATACTTAGAGAATCAAAGAAGTAAATGGCACCACACCATAGGAAGGAGGAAGAAGAAACACCTTATTAATAGTGTGTAAGGATGACAAAATAATCCAACACAATATACAGTTTAGGCATAAAATATAAACTTTTCAACTCTTCAGTTTTATAGGGTGCTGGTCTATGTGGTTAGTCTACTGAAGAATAATTTCAGATTAACCACCTTGACTTTTTTGCAGTGCTATAATTCCACCTAAAAATAGTAGATGATTTTCTATTTGTACAAATCATTATTTCCAACTGTTCTTCTAAATTTTACTTAGTAAGACAAGAAAATGTAAGAAATGCCTGAGAATGTATGCATGCATATAAGTATAACCAATGAACACAAGACACTGCGGGAGGGGAGGGGGATGAGGGCATGAGACAGGGGGTAGGGAAGGCTGGAGGAAAGTCAGTGGGGGGAAAAAAGGAGATATATGTACTACTATGTGTAATACTTTAAACAATAAATAAAAGGAATGTATGAGGATGCTTTATAATTTAAGAGAATAGCTGTCATATGTGATGTAGGGTGGACTCTGTGCACACACACACATATAAAGGAGAATAATACTAAAATGTTCTTAAGAAAGGTGATTATTCTAACGAGGGTATAACATGTGACTTTTACATTACTTTCTCTGCCCTTTATTTTTCAATTTTTTTAAAGTCAAGACATTTTTTAAATCAGGGGATATCCTATATAATAAAAGCCTAATATGCTATGTCCAGCTGTCCAGTCATTCATTCAACCAAAGTGTAATATGCTAATGATATGTTAAGGCTACTCAACCACGCGCTATGACATGCACTGACCACCAAGGGGCAGACAGTTGACCAGTTGGCCAGTCACTATGATGTGCACTGACCACCAGGGGGGACAGATGCTGCAACTGGTAGGTTAGCTTGCTGCTGGGGTCTGGCTGATTGGGACTGAGTGAGATGGGCTGGACATAGCCTGGTCCATCCCCAGCTAGTCCCTCCCCAGCACCAATCATGCAACCGTGGAGTCCTTTGGCGTGACCTGTGCCCTCTCGTAATCTGAGCTAAGGGACCCCCCCAACCTCCAAGTGCACAAATTTTGTTATAATATAAGCAATAAAAGATTGTTTAAATATGAAGTAGTAAGATAAGTACATAGAAGATAATAAGTATAGCTCCTTATGTTTCAGATAGCTTTTCATCTAACATTTACATTTGGATTAAGTACCTTTCCTACAGAATTATCAAAATTATTATTAAAAAACATCTAATCTTACCCTAGTGACTAAATGATTACTCTATGCAGCAAAATCAAAATCTTAAAGTGCATGTTTCTTATTTTAACAAATACCTATTCAGTTCCCTTAGTGGATCTTTTTAAACAAATGGATGAGACTGTTATAATTAATGTCATCAAATGCTTTTTATGTTAAAAGATGTTACTAAGTATGCTTGAAAACCTGTATTTCTAGTCAATACGAACATTTATCCACCTCCAAAATTTATAAGTACTATAGCTCCCACTGCCTCTTGCTAAGCAACAATGAAGATCATTTAGTTTCCATCCAACTGATACCAATGTCCTGATTTGCAGGGACTTATTAATAGGTTTTAATTATTAACACCATCACTGTTATCCTATTGCTACATTTTTTCACTTTTGGTTTCTTTTCTTAGCAATGTCCTTAATTTTCCCGTTTTATTCTATTAGTTTTAATTAAGTCATGGAAGTCACTATACCCTACATATGCATGTTATTGCCTTTAATGTGCCATATTTGTCAATAACTGATCTTTGGCTGAAACCTGTTTGGCTCAGTGGATAGAGCATCAGCCTGCTGACTGAAAAGTCCCAGGTTCAATTCCGGTCAAGGGCATATACCTTGTTTGCAGGCACATCCCCAGTAGGGGTTGTGCATGAGGGAGCAGATCTATGTTTCTTACTCTCTCTTTCTCCCTTCCTCTCTGTAAAAAATCAATAAAATATATATATTTTAAAATAACTGATCTTTGTTTCTTTATATTTTAAAATCCTTACCAATTATGAGGATGATAGTGATTTATCTTCATGGATGCAGAATTGTAATAATAAACAAGCAAACAAACAAATAAATAAATAAATAAATTACAAGCCAACTTCAGAGACCAGCTGGCAGATTTGTGTGCCATTTGTAACTTGTAAAGATTTAGAAGTGTTCGGTCTCAGAAGCCATGAGGCAAAAGATTAGGTAAGTATTTTGGGGTCCATTCGAAGTTTTAATGTCCCTGCTAGTAGAAAGGTAAAGGAACCCAGCAATTACTGTCTGAACTGTTTTCCTCTGGCTTCTGCCTAATTTTGGTGACTCTTTCCTTCTTTCCTTTAACCCTTTATTACACAATAATCTCAACATATTAAAATGGTACTTTTTCTATGTCACAGTATCAGTCTCAGCACCAAATATAGTTTTGTTTAACCTGTTTTTACCAAGAGGGTCCATAATGTTTTTGAGGTGTTTATAGACTGGCTTTCAGGTTTGTTTATTTTAGCAAAGTCCTTTAATGTTTTTTCAAAAGATAAGTAAACAAGTCCAATGATACCTTTTTCTTAATGAGCAGAAGGGATCAAGGGTGTCCCTGGACTGTGGTGAATAAAAGAGCAACTGAGGTGAGGTGAGGGCGAGGGGGCTGTCTCCTTCTAAGGTATCATTGTGGTTTTATTGGAGAAGTCCGGGAAAATAAAAGCTTTCTGTATCTTAATAAATGTAGTCATGTCACCTCTACCATAAATATGTGCACAGCCTTGACACCAGAGAAAAAGTACAGAACTGATGATTTTGGTAGTGTATCTTCTCATCTAGATCCCAACACTCTGCCCATGGTACCCACACCCCCATAAGTGGTTTTTGAAATTAGAAAGCCACATATATTTCCAACCATATATACAATGTGTGTATAGAATGCAGCAAAAACAGCCCCATGGCATTCTAAATAAACACTTTCCCAAAATATCAATTGACTATTTGCTGTTCCAAGGCCTGTTTAGAAAGAGACATAAATATAAAAATACAAATAAACAAACAAATAAAATACAGAAAGTAGCTTCTTAGCTTTGGGGAGACAGTAATAATGTTCACCTTGTGCGGTTGACACAATATAGCCAACATTTACTTAAATTCTAAAATAATTAGGCAGCAGGGAGTACAGAAGTTTCTCCATTTTATTTTATTTTTATTTTTTGTCTCACTGTACTGAGTTAATGCAGGCATTTTTTATGATTATGGGGGAAAATAAAGTGTTCATATGATGGAGATATTAAATAAAAATTATAAAAGCTAGTGTATGAATCAACCCAGTTATTGGCTTAAAGAGTGTCTCCTATACCAGCTTTTACAGAACAAGAGAGGAACTATTTCAGATGCCAAGATTAGCAGAGATATGTCCACAAAGTATTCTGACTATTCATATTGAAATATGTTCAAAA